AAAGGAACAAAGATAAGAATTAAAGCAAACTTCTTGCCAGAAACCAGACAAGCAAGCAGACAACAGAGTGACATTTTTAAAGTGTTGAAAGAAAAAAACTGTAAAACCAGAATTCTATCAATATACCCTGTGAAAATACCCTTCAAAAATGAAGGAAAAATAAAGAATTCTCAAACAAATAAAAACTAAGGGAATTCATTACCTGTAGACCAACCCTTTAAGAAATGTCAAAGGACATTCTTCAGGCAGAAGGAATATGACATAGCTTAGAAACTTAGACCTACACAAAGAAATAACGAGCACCAGAAATGAATGTAAAATATAATTTTCAGCTTATTTTTAAATATACTGAAATATAACTGTACAGCAATAACAGTGACAAGGTGATGGGTACTTATAATATATATAAAAGTAAAATATATGACATATATGACAATAATGGTGAGAGACTCAATCTTCCTCCTGAGATCTGGACTAAGGCAAGGATATCTTCTCTCAGTACTATTCAACCTTGCACTGGAAGTCCTAGCTAGTGCAATAAGGTAAGAAAAAGAAAGAAAAGGCATACAGATTGGAAAGGAAGAAATAAACTGCCTTTATTGGCAGACAATATGGTAGACTATGTAGAAAATCCCCCCCCCCCAAAAATAAGGAAATCAATAAGGAAATAAGTCAATTGAAAAATGGGTCAAAAAGATCTGAACAGACACTTCACCATATAAGACATGTAGAAGGCAAGTAAACAAATAAGATGCTCAACATTATTTGTTGTTTGGAAAATGCAAATAAACACCACAATGAGATACTACTCATGACACACCTATTAGAATGTTTAAAATGCAAAAAACAAGCAAACAAACCAACAAACAAAAGGACAATAACAACTGCTGACAAGGATGTGGGACAAGAGGAAATTTCTGGTGGGTATGCAAAACAGTGCAGCGACTTTGGAAGAGAATTTGGCAGTTACCTACAAAGTTAAACACAGACTTAGCATACTACCCAGGAACCACACTTCTAGGTATTTACCTAAGTGAATTTAAAACTTATGTCTAAACAAAAACCTACATGTGAATGTCTGTAGCAGCTTTATTCATAATCGCTAAAAAATGGAAGCAATATTAACAGAGGAATAGAGAAACAAATTATTTCAGAATAAAAAGGCTATTTAAAAAAAAATGGCCTTCAGCATGTAAATAAAAAGGTTTTGAAGAACTCTGAATAACAAGTGAAAATACTCAAGATAAAGTCCTAAATGAAAAAAGCAGCTTAAAAACTACATACACCTACACACACAAATTATCAACTTAACTATTAAAAGAGAGAAATGCATCGAGATAAAAGAACAGAAGTAAGTATTCTAAGATATTAAGAGTAGTTACCTCATAGATTTTTTGCCCCGTCTTTTTTGTATTTCTCCGGTGCTCTACAATGAACAGATACGAGAGGAGAAATGTTCTGTACTGTGTATTTTTAAAATGGTCTCACTTCTTTACAGTAGCATGCCCCCAGTTCTTCATGAGATGTTGCTGGCTGCTCTATAAAAAGGGTTCTTTGGTCAGCCATATGTGACTGCTTGGCACACTGTCCCTCTTCTGGAGACTCATAATACCTGGTAGGATGTTAAAGGTTCTGAGAAGGCAGCTAATAATGAAACTTGTTTAACTTGATATTTTTAACAAGCATTTACCAAATTTTTTTGACCACAGAACTTATATTTTCTCAAAACTACTTAATATCTCGGGAACAGATACATGTTTATATAGGATTACACAGAATACATGTTGGGGAAATGTTCGCTTAGAACCCCTCAGGTAGTTTTTTTTTTTTTTTTAATAGAAATCTTTTATTTATTTATTTATTTATTTATTTTTATATTTATTTTTGGCTGTGTTGGGTCTTTGTTTCTGTGCGTGGGCTTTCTCTAGTTGCGGCAAGTAGGGGCCACTCTTCATTGTGGTGCACAGGCCTCTTCACTATCGCGGCCTCTCTTGTTGCGAAGCACAGGCTCCAGACGCACAGGCTCAGTAGTTGTGGCTCATGGACCTAGTTGCTCCGCGGCACGTGGGACCTTCCCAGACCAGGGCTCGAACCCGTGTCCCCTGCATTAGCAGGTAGATTCTCAACCACTGTGCCACCAGGGAAGCCCCCCTCAGGGAGTTTTTAAGGGAAGTAACTGAGCTGTTTCTGGAGATTTCTTTGGCTGATTTAGCAAAGGACGAGTTATAAATGCCCTTTGCTCCATGGAAAAGACAACCCATTATGTGGATACCAGTCAGCCTCTTCCCCCAGCCACTGCTGTCATTGCCCAATGGGCTCATGAACAAAGTGGCCATGGTGGCAGGGAGGGAGGATATACATGGGCTCAGAAACATGGGTTTCCCCTCACCAAGGCCAACTGGCTATGGCCATGCTGAGTGCCCAATCTACCAGCAGCAGGGGAAACTAACACAGAGTCTTCAATACGGCCCCATTCTCCAGGTTGATCAGACAGCTGTCAGGTGGCAGATTGATTATATTGGACTGTTTCCATCATGTAAAGGGCAATGTTCTATTCTTACTGGAATAGACATTTACTCTGGATACAGATATGCCTTTCCTCCCTGTAATATTTCTGCCAAAACTACCATCCATGGACTTACAGACAATCCCTGGATTTACGGAATGCCTTATTCACAATCATGATTTCCACACAGCATGGCTTCTGATCATGGAACTCACTTTACAGCAAAAGTACAGCAAAGGGCCCATATGCATGGAATTTACTGGTCTTATCATGTATCCCACCATCCTGAAGCAGCTGGCTTGCCAGAATGGTGGAATGGCCTTATGAAGACTCAGCTGCAACACCAGCTAGGTGGCAGTACCTTGTAGGTCTGGGGTTAGGTTCTCTGGAAGTCTGTATATGCTCTGGACCAGCAGCCAGTACATGGTACTGTTTCTCCCATAGCCAGTATTCATGGGGTCCAGGAAGCAAGGGGTGGAAGTGGGAGTGGCACCACTATAACTAGCAAAATTTTTGCTTCTTTTCCCACAAATTTATGTTCTGTTGGCCTAGAGGTCTTGGTTCCAAATGGGGAAATGCTTCCACAAGGAGACATAAAATGATTCCACTGAACTGGAAAGAACGCCACCTTATCACTGTGGGCGCCTCATGCCTCTGAATCAACAGGTAAAAAAGGAAGTGATGGCTGGGGTGACTGACCCCGGCTACTAGGGGCAATAGGACTACTACTCCACAATGGAGGTGAGGAAGAGTATGCCTGGACTATAGGAGACCCCTTAGGGTGTCTCTTAGTATTACCATGCCCTGTGATTAAGGTGAAAGGAAAACTACAACCCAATCCATGCTGGACTACTAATGGGCCAGACCTTTCAGGAGTGAAGGTTCAGGTCATCCCATGATTAGCAGCGATGCTTGCTGAAGACAAAGGATAGAGTGGGTAGTGGAAGAAGGTAACTATAAGTACCAGCTACATCGACTTGACCGGTTACAGAAATGAAGACTGTAATGGTCATGAGTATTCCCTTCTTATTTTGCTATGAATATGTTTGTGTGTATACGTATCTTGTTTTCTTTCCACTCTTATTCCCTAATCATGTAACATAAGACGTATTGACTTTGTGTCATGGTTAGCAAGGAGAAGAATAAACATCATTCAAGGACTTTACCTCCTCTTCTGGGGAAGGGGTGTTCATTTTCAGTTGTATGCAGGATAGTTGTATCATGTTAGGCAGAATTATGATCTTGTTGTTATCTTTATTTGGAGACTAGGTATGGTTTAGGGAGATGTATATGGGTGCCAAGTTGATAAGGCGTGGACTTACGATTTTAATTTTATGTGTCAACTTGACTGTTCCACAGGGTTCCCAGATTAAACATTTCTGGGTGTGTCTGTGAGGCTGTTTCCAGGCGAGATTAGCCTTTGAATCTGTTGACTCAGTAAAGTAGGCTGCCCTCCCAAATGTGGGTGGGCATTATCAAGTCCTTTGAGGGCCTGAAGAGGACAAAAAGGCAGAGGAGGGAGGAATTTGCCTGTTTTTCTGCTTCTTGCCTGCCTGTTGAGCTGGGATATTGGTCTTCTCCTGCCCTTGAACTGGGATTTATACCACTGGCTCTTCTGGTTTCAGGCCTTTGGACTTGGACTGGAATTACTGGAATTACCAGCTTTCCTAGGTCTTCAGCTTGCAGACAGCAGCTCCTGGGACTTCTCACCTCCATAATCCTGTGAGCCAGTTCCTCATAATAAATCTCTTCCCATACATATATCTTATTGGTTGTGTTTCACTGGAGAACCCTGACTAATAGTTTCCAATTCAAATCCCTCTTCTATGAAAATACTTCTGATTTCTCCAAAATCTTCATGGATCTAGCCCTGTTCATATAACTCTCTTGATCTCTTTGGGTCTGTGAGGCACAGGACAGCATATGCTTGTACTATATTCTCTCTGACAGGTGTGTATTTTTAGGCCTTATCTTTCCAACTAGAATTTAATAACCTTGAAAGTAAGAGCTTTATCTCTTACTTCTGTATTTTCTTCCATTTGTTCATTTGTTTGTCCATTCATTTTTCATCCATTCAGTAGATTTTCTGAGTTTCTACCACTAGCCAGTTCAATAGTGAGTAACATCAGAGCACTCCCTTTATTCTTAGGGAGATTACGGTTTAGTTGGGGATACAGAAATGAATAAAATAATCAAGAAACAGATACATAATTATAAGCCCTGGTAGTACTTTGAAGAAGATATACTCAGAGTCCATAAAGGGGGACCTAAACTAACTCTGGGTAGAGAGGGTGGGACAAGGCAGGAAAGGCTAACCATGTTGAGCTAAGATCTGAGGAATGAATAGGTTTTCATTAAATAAGGTAGAGAAAGGGTGGAGGCGAGAGAAGAGTGTTCTAGACCGAAGTTCTCCTAAGGGAAGGTGCACAGAACCACAGGATTGCACACAACAGGCTTCAAAGGACAGATGGCTGACCAAATAGAAACTACTAACCATTTTCTTCAGTCTCTTCTCTTCTCGTTTTTTCTCAAGCTGAGCCTCCTTTTCTTCGGCCTCCCTCTTCCGACGCTCCTCCTCTTGGGCCTTTAACTGGGCCTGATCAAGATTAGAATTTGTAAAAATCAGAACCCTCAATTTGTGTGGAAATAAGATCTTTTATGTTGAGGAAAGTCAAGTATCTACCAAAGTGCTCGCCCAGTCTCTGGAAGAAGCCTGCGCTTTGTGTTAAAAGTAGAAAGCCTGACCAGCAGGTGGTCAGTAGTGTAACCTAAATGTTTCTCCAAGAGAATTCTCTTCTACTTGGGAAGATGAGACTAAGCATGAATAAGACCATTAACTTTTCATTACAAAATGATTACTTTTTAGTTCTTATTTTCATTTATGAAATACTAAGTCCAAACTATATATAGCGTAAGGAAAATTTTGCTTCCATTTCACCAAAAAACCCCAAAGTGGTTAGAACTATTTAGTTTTTCTTAGTAGGTACAAAATTTACTTCTGGCAGTCCAGGTCAAAAGTTTGGAAGATAAGAATTACTCCCCTTTGTAAACTTATCAGGTTGGATATTTACCTGTAACACATTGGTCTTGGTTATGTGTAAAGCTTCTAAGTTGCCACAGCTCCCAACAACTTTCATAATATTTCCTTCCTGCTATACTAATGATGCTGATGTTTTTCCCCTTCATTTTCCTAAAATTATCACAGAGTTCAGGCCGGGAGGCAAAAAGCCATAGCCAAAGTTGGTGTTACACTATTGCCTTAATGGTCTGAAACAAGCTAGGTTTCATTTTTTAATAAAGACCTACACAAATCCTTTTCCTTGCCTCAATTTGCATTCTTGATTTATTACCAATTTCTCCTCTTCTTTTTTTTTCTTCCTCTCTGCCAAGATCCGCCTACGTTCAGCTCGCTGAACTGCTCTCTCTTCCATGGCTAGAAAATAGTAATGCAGTTCCAATATAAAAAATATAAGGAATGCTGCAAAAGAAATGTCTCCATTTTATAGTAAAATTTAGTGTTATTGTTAAAAGTTTTCTTTTAAGTTGAATGTTCACAATCTCAGAAATATATGTGTGTGCATAAAATTTATATAAAAATATAATTACAGGGCTTCCCTGGTGGTGCAGTGGTTAAGAGTCCGCCTGCCAATGCAGGGGGCACGCACAGGTTCGAGACCTGGTCCGGGAAGATCCCACATGCCGTGGAGCAACTAGGCCTGTGTGCCACAACTACTGAGCCTGCACTCTAGAACCTGCAAGCAACAATTACTGAGCCCGCGTGCCACAACTACTGAAGCCCATGCATCTGGAGCCCGTGCCCTGCAACAAGAGAAGCCACCGCAATGAGAAGCCCGTGCACCACAACGAAGAGTAGCCCCCACTTGCTGCAACTACAGAAAGCCGTGCACAGCAACAAAGAACCAAAGCAGGCAAAATAAATAAATAAATAAATAAAATTAAAAAAATATAATTACAAAAACTGTAGGTATACACACACACACACACACACACACACACACACACACACGCCCTACAAGTTTAAGACCTACAATCTCATCCTCAGCAATGATGAACAATTTGCAGATTAATTATGTTTTTGTTCAGATTTCTATTAGAATAACTGTTCACTGGTTTAAACAAGATAATCTGTCTTGATGATACTTTTAGTATGTGAAACCCAGAAACCAGAATTTTAATCTGATAATTCTTTTAATGAATGTAGAAAACTTTAATTACATCTAACAAATACTCTGAGAATAGAATCACTCCTCAAATCCCACTGAGTTTGCTACTTTTTCCTAAGTCACTATACATATGTCTGTATATGTAACAACAATGACAACAAACAAACTGAAGTTTGGGGTCATAATGATTACATTTTTAAACTAGCTTTAAGGCCTGGATATCCAGATGGACAGGAAATGGAATTGTACTAGGCATCTGAAGAACTGGCATCTGAATGAATTCAAGTGTCAGACTCCTGTTCTTGACAGTCTATTAAATATCCATCCAAAACAAGCAAATGTGCAAGATGGCTTGACAATACGACTCTGTCACCAGTTGGGGTTTCATAGGCAGGGGGGCATGGGTGGGAAGAGTATCAAGTTCTGCTCACCTAAGTCAGCCAATGGTTACTTTCGGTTCCTTGTGCTATGTTACAGAGAAGAAAATTTAAGTCCAAGTTTCAAGAATTAATAAACAAAAAACTCGCCAGGCTATTTCTTACAGATATTAAGTGTCTGCTTTGCTGGAAAAAGAACAGTGGGGTTGGCACAGATGGCAGGAATGAGACTCTCTTTAAGGGGGCAGAAATAGACTAGAGGAGTAAAGTGAGAGAGCCCCGAGAGGCAGAGTCTGTGGTAATATGGCCTTTTTCCATCTTTTCTAGAGCCAGTCATTAAAGACTACTTGAAAAGTAACCAGGTGTTCTAAAACATGCAAAGTCTTTGACCGGATAATAATTTTTTAAAAATAATCACACCAAACTGGGCATTTCCTGAGCATCCTCATTGGTGGACAAAGAGGGCATAAACTGCTGACCTGGAAGACAGCCAATGTAAAGATGGCTGATTTCTTCATTAACAGGAATGGACTTCAGGCACAGTGTCCTTCAGGTAACATCACTTCCTGTTAGGGCAGCAATCTTACCGTAGATGAAAAATCAGATTTACAAACCACGGTGTAATTGTCAAACTGCCTACCACTTCATATAAACATATGTTCAGTGCATGACTAAGTACAGAGTAAAAACAACTGGCAGATTCACTAGGGGGATTCTAAGGAATACTTCTCTTCTCATAGTATAGTTTGGTTTAAATAATGATTTCTATACACATCAAGAATGTTATTAAAATGTCTGGTTTGATTTGTAGAGACGTGGATGGACCTAACGACTGTCATAGAGTGAAGTAAGTCAGAAAGAGAAAAATAAATATATATCAACGCATATATGTGGCATCTAGAAAAATGGTATAGATGAACCAGTTTGCAAGGCAGAAATAGAGACATAGATGTAGGGAACAGATGTATGGACACCAAGGGGGGAAAGTGGCAGGGGGTGTGATGAATTGGGAGATTGGGATTGACATGTATACACTAATATGTATAAATAGATAACTAATAAGAACCTGCTGTACAGCACAGGGAACTCTACTTCACTCCACTGTACAGTAGAAACTAACACAACATCGTAAAACAACTACACCCCAATAAAAAAAAAATGTTTTTTTAAATGTCTGGTTTGTGGATTTCATTCAAAAAGCCTATCATCAAGGCACAACCCATTATAAAATGATGTAATAACTTGATGTGGATTGCTGTAAACTGATCAATATTTTAATGTTAACAAAGTACAGTGATAGGTGATCTTTATCAGGGTTTATTCTTAGCAGCTACGTGGAATTTTTTTATTTGTGTAATTGTCCCATTTCTAAAATCACAATCCAAATCTCAAATTACAGAAAAATGCTTAAACCTTTCAGCAATGTTTTGTTTGTTTGTTTTTGTATTGGCTAGGAAGACCAGAAAGTTTGGCAAAAAGGGTAGGAAAAAGTCGTGGCATTCTCTGGTGTATCCACTTCTCATGTGTCTACCCATCTTAGACTTTGACTAGGTTCTGCCGAGTCTCAAAACCCAAGAGTTGCCAGGATTCAGTCCCAACACATTCTACTCCAAGAGGAAAGATAACCACAACCAAGGCCCCACCAAGACAGCCCTGCCTTTCAGTATGGGATGGGGTGCCATCAGCTGCCTTGGATTCCTTCTGGGTCCAGACAGAGAACTTCGGGAGTCACTTCTACTACCTTCAGTCCCAGGGGAAGCAACAGGTGAACTGCGGGAAAAAAAAGGAACAGAATTCAGACCAATCACGAGCTTCATTCAAAGCCCTTGCACCTGAGGAACTCAACACCTTTTACAAACTTTAATTAATCCTCACTTTCTGAGATAACTATGTATTATTATACCCATTCAATAAATTGGTGTAATGAGGCGTGGAAAGGTCGATTGATGGGCCTGAGCCTACAATGTGAGTCAGGCGCTCTGATTCCCATCCCATGCTTCAAATCAATACATCACCCACTTCTTATCCTACCATTTATCACACATACTGAGTATGTCACAAGCATGTCTAAAACCATCTTAAATAGCTTTTGAGAAATTTGGACTCTAATTCTAGGCTCAAAGATATTTACTTTTATCTCAAACAACTACAGACTTAAGCTAGGTAACTGGCCATAACCAAGGGCTGCTCCATTTGGACCTGATATTGTCTGACCTGGTTCTCAGCCCTAAACATACTCAGAAATCCAGAAATTGAGTTAGAGCAACTAAGCATTTTTCTCTTTTACTGGTATAGTACTGCTATAGTATAGACAGAGCTCCTCAGACAAAGGCAGCCACCATACAAATGCTAACTATATAACGGGATCCTTATAGGCAGCAACTTGCCTTAAATACATTTTGGTACCTGTCACATACCAATCACCATGCACGGGGCTTCTCTGCTTTGCGAGTGCACAGTAAAAGAAAAGGAGTAATTATAGAGTCCAGACACTGGGTAAAGTTCAGGAGCCTTTCGATCACAAAGTAAAAAACCCCAAATAAAGAGTCCAAAGAGTGTTCTGATACAATGGACATACTTTGGAAGCACCTGGCAGGTTCTTTTTCGTTCATCTTCTCTGGGGTTTGACAGCAGGCAGCTCTGTGTGTCAGCATGCCCTGCTGCCCGCCGGGCCTCTGCCAGCCGCTGGTTTTCCCTCAGCTCCAGAATTGTTTTCTGCTGTTCCTGAAGTTTCTTCTTCTGCTTTTCAATCAGCTGTTGCTGGAAGATGTGGCGGTTATGGAAATGACCCATGCACATAGGTTCTGCTTTCTGGCTGCTGATTCTGAGCTTCTCTTTGTTGCCAGGCTGTTGGGAGGGCTCAACATCTAGGGCCTTGTGCGGTTTACTGTCAGATGTATCCAGAGGGACATTCTGGAGGGGAACCTGCAAGATGTCCTTTGTTGGTCTTCCTAGGTGGGGGCTGGGCACATAACCATTGGTCCCCAAGGGAGGCTTTTCCCACAAAGAGGGGACGGCAGCCGCCTGAGAGAGAAGGAACGTGTGATAGCTCAGCTATTTAAAGACTGTACTGGTGAGATCCAACTCTACCTGGTCAGCACTGTTCTGTTCAATGGCACAACTGCCCTGCACCCCAGCCAGAGTTGCCCTGTGCTCCTGGCCTGGCCATCTCAGAAGCCACCAGCCTTAGCCCCGTGAGTCACTCTTAGAACGTGCCCTGCTGCTCACCACAGAAGCTGGTGGGAGAGTGGGTACAATCATATGAACCACTTCCACGGCCAGGATATCTGGAATCGGAAAAATGTGCTCTTAGAAATATCTAATTTGGATAGTTTGTTTGTGAATTAGGCATGATTACTCCAGATATATATTCCAGGAATTTAATCTGCACTAATTGACCCTGAATTTTGCAGGAAATTGAAAATATTGTGGCAAAGTATATACTGCTTCTCAAGAATGTTTGAAAACTAAGGAATAACTTTACAAATCAATAATAGCTCTTTAATAATAACAATAGCTCTTTATTTTTTAAATTTTTATTTATTTTTTTTAACATCTTTATTGGAGTGTAATTGCTTTACAATGGTGTGTTAGTTTCTGCTTTATAACAAAGTGAATCAGTTATACATATACATATGTTCCCATATCTCTTCCCTCTTGCGTCTCTCTCCCTCCCACCCTCCCTAACAATAGCTCTTTAATAAGAGCTCTTTCAGTGTCTCTCTTGCCACCAATAAATTAATCACAGGGTATTTGTCTATTTCAGGATCAAGGCCTAGATTAAAGCATACAGCTTTAATCCAGCTATTCCCAAACAATTTATTTATGGGAAATATTTGCAAGCCCACGATCACTGGGCAGATATCTGCATTATATAAGAATAATGCTACCTAATAATATTTTGTATTAGCATATGGCTTAATAGTTTTCAAAGCTTTATCACATAAATCTCATTTAACATACTGAGGTGTCATACTCAATTACAAATTCTATACAGATGGGAAAGATGCAGAATTCTTAATCAGAAAAATTTATCCTGGCTAAAATAATGTCACAGTTAAAATGTTTCTTCTAGAATAGTTTGATTCCATGGTCTAAGCTCTGATCAGTTTTTGATTCTGTCACCTGCAATGGTGTAAGGAAAAAAAGTACTGTGAACTATCTTATTATCTTAGAAGCTTCTAGCTCTAACAGGGCACCATATTTGGGAACTCAAAGATATTTTTCAGAATGATGGAAATATTTTCCACAGACTCAGCCAAAGTGAAAGATGTGATATATGGAAACTCTGAAATGTTAAATATTTTAAAAAACAGCTTTTATTTCAGAAATGTCAGTGGACATTTATTCATGAGAACACCTGCTTAAGCAATTTAGCGTCAAGCAGGGTTTGTGTTTTAGGCCCTTTTAAACTTTGTGGTAATGATACATTATTAACCCAGCAAGACTGTAAAAGCCTTGAATACAGCAACAAGATTTCTTTTGGATCATGGTAACGTTTTAAGGTGAAAATAAGAGAACGAAAGAAAATCTTAATGGTACAGACTGTACTTAATAGAACAGGACTGAAGAGTCTGGCTCAATTAGAGAAAATCAGCTATTAGCTAACTGATAATTTCAAAAAATTTCAAGGTATAAGATATGGGTTTATGCATTCCTGTGACTGTACAATTAATGAGCATCTAACTATAGATTTTATATTGTCATTTGTTCATGTTACACTATATACTCTGGACAAGATCAGAATTTATCTAGTAAACTATAGAGTCTATTATAGCCTTTTATTTTAATTTGCTCTATTTTTCACAATTTTATCTTTTCTTGACTTCAGAGATCTGGAGATTTTTCTCTTGAGTCTAAATTATATATACATTTAGTAATTTTTCTGTTTTATGCAGGTAACAAAAGATTTTCTGCTGACATTTTCCGTTTGAAGATAATAGTGGAACTTTGTGAGGTAAAAGGTTCCACAGAGCTACTGGGTGGGACCGATAAGATTCTCTTGGGTCTCAATAGAAACAAGACTATCTAACTGACATAAAGGTACATAAATTGCCTAGGGGAAGGGACCAAATAAGCATCCTCATGATCCCCCTTTGTTGAGACACTAAGCTTAAATTAAAACCAGCCTACTTGCTGGCAGTAATAACAATAATCACAATAAAAAGCAAGGCTGGGAATCATCCAAGTGTTCAATTTAACTTCACACATTTGAGTTAAGTATTGATACTTAAAGGCATTATGTAGAAGGTGGCAGGGGAAGCGTTGGGGGAAGGATAGATTGGGAGTTTGAGATTGACACAAACACACTGCTATATTTAAATAGATAACCAACAAGGACCTACTGCAAAGCACATGGAACTCTGCTCAATATTTTGAAATAACCTAAATGGGAAAAGAATTTGAAAAAGAATCAATACATGTATAAGTATAACCGAATCACTTTGCTGTACACCTGAAACTAACACAACATTGTTAATCAATGATACTCCAATATAAAATAAAACTTAAAAAAAAGAAAATACAATGGAGAAAAGACAGCCTCTTCAATAAGTGGTGCTGGGAAAACTGGACAGCTACATGTAAAAGAATGAAATTAGAATGCTCCCTAACACCATACACAAAAATAAGCTCAAAATGGATACAAGACCTAAATGTAAGGCCAGACACTACCAAACTCTTAGAGGAAAACATAGGCGGAACACTCTATGACATAAATCACAGCAAGATCCTTTCTGACCCACCTCATAGAGAAATGGAAATAAAAGCAAAAATAAACAAATGGGACCTAATGAAACTTCAAAGCTTTTGCACAGCAAAGGAAACCATAAACAAGGCAAAAAGACAACCCTCAGAATGGGTGAAAATATTTGCAAATGAAGCAACTGACAAAGGGTTAATCTGCAAAATTCACAAGCGGCTCATGCAGTTCAATATCAAAAAAACAAAAAACCCAATCCAAAAATAGGCAGAAGACCTAAATAGACATTTCTCTAAAGAAGACATACAGATTGCCGACAACCACATGAAAGGATGCTCAACATCAGTAATCACTAGAGAAATGCATCAAAACTACAATGAGGTATCACCTCACACCAGTCAGAATGGCCATCATCAAAAAATCTACAAGCAATAAGTGCTGGAGAGGGTGTGGAGAAAAGGGAACCCTCTTGCACTGTTGGTGGGAATGTAAATTGATACAGCCACTATGGAGAACAGTATGGAGGTTCCTTAAAAAAACTAAAAATAGAACTACCATATGCCCCAGCAACCCCACTACTGGGCATACACCCTGAGAAAACCATAATTCAAAAAGAGTCATGTACCACAATATTCATTGCAGCTCTATTTACAGTAGCCAGGACATGGAAGCAACCTAAGTGTCCACTGACAGATGAATGGATGAAGAAGGTGTGGCACATATATACAATGGAATATTACTCAGCCATAAAAAGAAACGAAATTGAGTTATTTGTAGTGAGGTGGATGGACTTAGAGACTGTCATACGAATGAAGTAAGAAAGAGAAAAACAAATACCGTATGCTAACACATATATATGGAATCTAAAAAAAAAAAAAAAAAAAAGTGGTTCTGAAGAACCTAGGGGCAGGACAGGAATAAAGATGCAGACGTAGAGAATGGACTTGAGGACATGAGGAGGGGGAAAGGTAAGCTGGGACAAAGTGAGAGAGTGGCATGGACCTATATATACTATCAAATGTAAAATAGATAGCTAGTGGGAAGCAACCCCATAGCACAGGGAGATCAGCTCAGTGCTTTGTGACCACCTAGAGGGGTGGGATAGGGAGGGTGGGAGGGAGACGCAAGAGGGAAGAGGTATGGGGATATATGTATATGTATAGCTGATTCACTTTGTTATAAAGCAGAAACTAACACACCATTGTAAAGCAATTATACTCCAATAAAGATGTTAAAAAAATAAATAAAATAAATGTACAATGAGGAAATTTATTTGTATTCAATATGACAGACAAATAATTAAAAACAAAACAAAACAAAACATAAGTGTATATAGTACCAAACACCATAAATAAACCAAAAAGACAAATAAAAACAATGAAAAAAACTGCAGAATATATAATAATAAAAGCATCAATAGTCTTAAAAATATAAAGAGCTCCTATAAACAAGAAAAAAATATATATTCAAGGATAAAAATGTATAAAAGGCATCACTATTCATCTTTCTATACCAATTTTCAGATACATATATATGTAAATGGAAAATATAAAAAATGTTTAACCTCACTAGTAATAAAAAATGCAAATGTTGAAGCAATAGTAACACAAAAAATATTTTACTTGTCAACTTAGCAAAAATGATAAATATGTTATCAGGCAGGAAAACAGGTACTTCTTTGACACAACCTTCCTGGAAGGGCAATTTGGTAAAAGTCTTTAAAATATGCATTCTATTTTTAGGTATTTATCCTAAGTAAAGCCTTATGGATGTGTGCAAAGACTTAGCTACTTGTTCACTGAAGCTCTGTTTATAATAGTGGCAAACTAGAAACAACTTAAATGTCCAGCAACAAAGAAGGAGGTATACAGTCTAGCTCGTGGTTCATGATAGAATTTCATGCAGCCATGAAAAAAGATGGCACAGAATGACAGTCCTTAACCAGGGGTTATTCATCAGGTTCACCTGTGGAACTTTAAAAAAAGTATGGTGCCCCACACCCAGAAATTCTGATTTAGTAGGTCTGATTCTGTGTTATACTCTCAGTTGGGAACTACTGTTGCAGAAGTAGATTTAGTGACACAGAAAATTCTCGTTATATTGCAGAAAATAATTTTAGAAAAACAGATTACGTTATTATTAAGTAGAAAAATATATTCTCATCAAAGTGGGTATAGAGGGAACATATCTCACCATAATAAAAGCCATTTATGATATACCCATAGCCAATATAATACTCAATGGTGAAAAGCTGAAAGCCTTCCCAATAAATTCAGAAACAAGACAAGGATGCCCACTCTCACCACTTCTATTCAACACAGTATTGGAAGTCCAAGCCACAGCAATCAACAAGAAAGAGAAATAAAAGGTATCCAAATTGGAAGAGAAGAGGTAAAACTGTCACTATTTGCAGATGACATGATTCTCTATACAGAGAACAATAAAGACTCTACACAAAAACTAGTAGAACTAACAAATGAATTCAGTAAGGGGACTTCCCTGGAGGTCCAGTAGTTAAAACTCCATGCTTCCACTGCAGGGGGCATGGGTTTGATCCCTGATCGGGGAACTAAGATCCTGCATGCCATGCAGCATGGCCAAAGAAAAAAAGGAATTCAGTAAGGTAGCAGGATACAAGATTAACATACATAAATCTGTTGCATTTGTTAATACTAATAATGAAATATCAGAACGAGAAAGCAAAAAAGAAAATCCCATGTAAAATTACATCATATTGGCACAATACTGTAAATCAACTATACTTCAATAAATAAATAAATAAATAAAACAAAATTGTGTCCCAAAAAACCTAGGAATAAACTTAACCAAGGAAGTGAAAGACCTATACACTGAAAACTACAAAACACTGATAAAGGAAACTGAAGGTGATTCAAAGAAATGGAAAGATATCCCATGCTCTTGAATTGGAATAATTCATACTATTAAAATGGCCATACTGGGCTTCCCTGGTGGCGCAGTGGTTGAGAGTCCACCTGCCGATGCAGGGGACACGGGTTCGTGCCCTGATCCAGGAAGATCCCACATGCCGCGGAGTGGCTAGGCCCATGGCTAGCCATGAGCCATGGCTGCTGAGCCTGTGTGTCCAGAGCCTGTGCTCCGCAACGGGAGAGGCCACAACAGTGAGAGGCCCGCGTACCACAAAAAAAAAAAAAAAAAAAAAAAAAAAAAAATGGCCATACTACCCAAAGCTATCTACAGATTAAATGCAATCCCTATCAAAATACTAATGACATTTTCCACAGAACTATAACTAATAATCCTAAAATTTATATGGAATCTCAAAAGACCCAGAATTGCCAAAGCAGTCCTGAAGAAAAAAAACAAAGCTGGAGGCATAACACTTCCAGACTTCAGACAATACTGCAAAGCTACAGTAATCAAAACAGCATGGTATTGGCACAAAAACATACATACAGATCAATGGAACAGAATAGACAGCCCAGAAATAAACCCACACACCTACGGTCAATTAATCTATGACAAAAGAGGCAAGAATATACAATGGAGAAAAAAGTCTCTTCAGCAAGTGGCGCTGGGAAAGCTGGACAAACTCATGTAAATCAGTGAAATTAGAATACTCCTTCACATCATATACAAAAATAAACTCAAAATGGTTTAAAGACCTAAATATAAGACATGATATCATCAAACTCCTAGAAGAGAACATAGGCAAAACATTCTTAGACATAAATCATAGCAATATTATCTTAGATCAGGCTACCAAAGCAAAAGAAATAAAAGCAAAAATAAACCTAATCAAACTTAAAAGCTTTTGCATAGCAAAGGAAACCATCCACAAAATGGAGACAACACACTGAATGGGAGAAAATATTTGCAAACAATGCAACTGACAAGGAGTTAATATCCAAAATATACAACAATGCATACACCTCAATATCATAAAAGCAAACGACCCAATAAAGAAAATGGGCAGAAGACCTAAATAAACATTTTTCCAAAGACATACAGATGGCCAACAGGCACATGAAAAGATGCTCAGCATCACTAATTATTAGAGAAATGCAAATCAAAACCACAATGAGGTATCACCTCACACTGGTCAGAGTAGCTATCATCAAAAAGTCCACAAATAATAAATGCTGGAGAGGGTGTGAGGAAAAGGGAATCCTTATACACTGTCAGTGGGAATGTAAATTGGTGCATCCACTATGGAAAACAGTATGGAGATTCCTTAAAAAAATAAAAATAGAGCTACCATATAGACCCAGCAATCCCACTCCTGGGCATAGATCCAGAAAAAATGAAAACTCTAATTGGAAAAGATACATACACCTCAATGTTCGTAGCAGTACTATTTACAATAGCCAAGACATGGAAACAACCCAAGTGCCTATCAACAGACGACTGGTTTAAGATGTGGTGTATATATATACAGTGGACTATTACTCAGCCGTAAAAAAGAATGAAATATTGCCATTTGCAGCAACATGGATGGGCCTAGATAATATCATACTAACTGAAGTAAATCAAACAGAGAAAGACAAATATTATGTGATATCACTTATGTGTGGAATCTAAAAAATAATACAAATGAATGTATATACAAAACTGAAATAGAGTCACAGACATAGAAAACAGACTTATGGTTACCAAAGGGAAAAGGGAAGGGGGAGAGATAAATTAGGAGTATGGGATTAATAGATACAAATTACTGTATATAAAACAGATAAGCAACAAGGATTTACTGTATAGCATAGGGAACTATATGCAATAACTTGTAATAACCTATAATGGAAAATAATCTGAAAAAAATATATAACTGAATCACTTGTGCTGTATACCTGAAACTAACACAATATTAGAAATCAACTGTATTTCAATTTAAAAAAAAGGAAGAAAAAATACATGGCCTTGGGCTTCCCTGGTGGCGCAGTGGTTGAGAGTCCTCCTGCCGATGCGGGGGACACAGGTTCGTGCCCTGGTCCGGGAAGATCCCACATGCTGGGGAGTGGCTGGGCCCATGAGCCATGGCCGCTGAGCCTGCGTGTCCGGAGCCTGTGCTCCGCAACAGGAGAGGCCACAACAGTGAGAGGCCCGCATACCGCAAAAAAACAAAAAAACATGGCCTTCCTTTTCCTGTATTATGACAGATTAGATCTCCTCAATGACTTGACTGAAGAAAATTTTAAAGCTAAAAACAACATTAAAGAGAAAAATCTGCATATGCCTGAATAGAGAAAAGACAAGATGGCTATACTTCAACATGTGGTTATTTATTGGTGGTTATCTCTAAATGATAGAATTATTGCCTATTTTTCTTTTTCCTCTGTCATTTTCTCCTGCCAAATTGCTACAATTAATACATATGATTCTTCTTATTAGGAAAATAAAAACTTAAACATTCCCTTCTTATAAGTCACAAGCTCATTTAGAAAGGAAATGCCTGACAATCAAATAAGAGGTGTTCAAGAGTTGTAAACAATGCTTTATATATCTGTTCCTGAAAGAATCTTTCGCTTAGTTGTTTTAAATTCCCTGCCTATATTACGTCTTTACCAAGTTTCAACTATACCAGTTTGTATGTGATTATAAAAGAGGATTCAGTTCAAGAAAATCAACACTGACTGAAAGACAAACTTTGTGCACTGTAGCAGCTCTCATCTTTTAGATAGCCCAGGCCAGGCAACCTGACAACAGCTAACATACCCCAGGCTATACAAGTATAAAGCTCAAAAGCAGGAAGACTAAGCAAAGGAAAAGCAACTTACCTCTCCATTTCTAGGTGGATCCTCCATGGCTGTTGCCTCCTCAAGTAGACGGATGCTTGATGACACGTTTGCACTGACTTTCCCTAGTGACACTGCCTTCAGCAGCTCATTCATTTTCTTCCTAGTTTCCTCCTTTGTAACAGCCAGCTCTCTGTTTTGGATCTCTGCACGGTGCCAATGCTGCCATTCTGTAAAATGGTGTCGGAGAACTTGTTTCCGGTTATAGTCAGTGGCCAGTTGTTGTTTTCTAAGAAACAAAGCACTTCCATTAAAAAAAAGAAGCCATTTGCTGCTTTTCGGTGATAATATAAGTGAAATACAAGTCCAAAGGAGTCCCAGAAATGCTCCATTTTAGCTCCAGCTTATTCTTTTATTTAAGCTCAAAGGAATCATTTTATAAAGCTCCCCAAGGCAAAGGGTCTGCTCATAGAAGTCATTGGCACCTCAAGGCATTGCTTTAGAAGACTGACTGTTCTGTTCTATCACAACACAAAGGCATATTAAATTTTTTGATTACCATAAAATAGTTTCTGAGAGCTTTTGGAGGGGAAGGAGCAGAAAGAATAGGTATTCAAATAACTGCTTTTAAAAAATATGCATACATGAGGGAGCTATTCAGCTATACTTGAAAATCTAAGGAAGACAAGATGTTTGGGAGAAAGAGAAAGGAACGAAACTTAACAAGTGAATTGTCAATAATTAAGTATAAGACATAAAAATCGCCATGAAATTATGACGGTGGATCTTGTGAAAGAACGACTTGGTCAGGGAAAGGATCTCTATAGAGAAGGTCTCATTTACCAAAGCCATAAACTGAGTGAATGAAGAACTGCTTTGTGAAGACACTTGTTGAACATTAGAAATGTGTGAAGGCACTTGCTCTCGGAGAACTCACTCACAGCCTAGTAGGGGGTCTGATTCACTCTCTTCCTAAGGAGGAGCTCCTTTTGATTCCTGGAAACTTCATGATGTTAAGGGAAGTGCCTGAGTGGAGTTGGGAACTGCCAGCTACATTTCCCTCCCAAAGGGACTCTCCATTAGGAGACATGTTTGTGGTAGCCAGTTGAGAATTCAAGTGTAGAGATTTCTGAGATCAATCTATAAGTGGATGATTATTGTCTCTGAAGAAGTGAGCTGTAGAGCTTGGAACTTATGTCGCAACCAGGGTCAGTTTCGAGGTTTAAGATCTAAGATTGTTTAGATACTTACGTGATTTTATCTTGTAAAGATGACTGGAATAAGGTCTCTACAACACTATTTGCATATCCATTTCTGTTAAACATAAATAATGTTTAACCCTCCTCATGGACTTTTTGGGGTCATATCAAAAAAATCGTAACATTTTAAGCCAATGAGTCAGAAGAACATTTTTAGTTTTTAAATGCTTAAGTGACTTTTAAACTTTTTGACTGCCACCTAAAGAAAAAAGTGTCACACTATGACTTCAAAATAAGTTGATGTGTGTACATGTGCATGAAACAAAAGTATATATAATTGAAACAAAGGTTCCACCAAACGATATTCACCCTTACTACCAGAGATGTACTCCAATGCTTCTTTTCTAATCTTTTCTATTTTTTAAAAAATATGCCTCATCTTGAGCCTAATTTTAGGACCCATTAATGAGTTAAAACCCTTAGTTTGAAATACTACTCTAGAGTCACAGAATTTAACATTATGTCGGAGAAGTTGGGTGAAACAACCAATTAGTGAGAGTAGTGTTGACTGAAATAACAGAATTCAGGGTAAATGCTAACAGCAGTTCTGCCAAGAGCATATTTCATTATATATAATTGCTTCTTTCTAATGCAATGATAGATAATAAATACGATTGACTGATGGGTTTTATAATAAAAATACAATATAGGTGGTAATAAACATCTATATATAATATTTTACTTTGATGGAAAAAAAGAAAGTATCTGAAACTGAATAATCTTGAAATAAAAATTTTAAAAGAAATAAGAATAATAAATCAGGTAGCAACGCAGGTGAGAACAAAGCTCCAAAAATATCAATGTCTAAATAGTGAAACAAACAAAACACCTGATGGCATTTTACTCAAGTACGTGGAAATCATGTATTTCCACAGACTAGAAGACATATGTTGCAGTCTGATTAATGTAAAATTTGATTTACATCAATCTGCTTAGGAAGGAGGAGTGTGAAATTTACCTGATGAGTTAATTTCATGTTTTTACAGCATAAACAGCCAAAAGCCACACTGGAGTTCTGACTGTCAAGGAGAGGGTTATTTGGACAGTATGAAAAGGCAAAGAGAAAAATATTTCTGATAAATATAACAAAAAGACTAAACAGTAAAAAACAAGGTGGGTTAAAAAATGCGTGTGAATTATTGTGTTTAGAGCCCTCTCTATCATGATCATGCAGGAGATTTGAAGATGTACTTAAGATATCGATGTTCATGGGAAGGGCAGGAACACAGAAGCTAGGGATCCAGAGACAAGACTGGTGCTACTCTTGCTCGCTTGCAGTTCACTTCAGCAGAGTGACAATATTGCAGATAAGTCCATTTCTATACTTTTTTTAAAAGAATGGATGCACTTATAAAGTTATTTATTTTATTTATTTATTTTTGGCTGTGTTGGGTCTTCGTTGCTGCACATGGGCTTTCTCTAATTGCCGCGAGCGGGGGCTGCTTGTCACTGCGGTGCGCAGGCTTCTTATCGCGGTGGCTTCTCCTGTTGCGGAGCACGGGCTCTAGGCACACAGGCTTCAGTAGTTGTGGCACACAGGTTCTAGGCACGTGGGCTTCAGTAGTTGCAGGACGCAGGGCTCAGTAGTTGTGGCGCACGGGCTTAGCTGCTCTGTGACATGTGGGATCTTCCCGGATCAGGGCTCAAACCCACATCCCCTGCACTGGCAGGCGGACTCCCAACCACTCCGCCACCAGGGAAGTCCCCCTTTCTATACTTTTTAAATGATGACTCTAAAAACACAAATATTTCTGAAAGTGAAAAATCACTTAAATTTCTTAAAAGCTTAGTCAGATGTGATTTACTTGGGCATGCTAACCCAAAGAAATGGTTCCACAGTTCCCAGATAATCATAAAATGAAGGACAGAGTTTCTTTATGGAAAACATCCTAACCCAATATGTTTCCAAGCTGAAATCAGGGAATTTCTGGCAAGGGTCTATAAACTGATCATTATAATTATACAACTGCATGCAGAGAAAGACTGTCTCTAGAGAACTAAGAATATAAGATATATAGGTTTAAACAGGAATTTAAATATGAACCAGGATGCTTAGAATCAACACCTCAATTGATACTCAGTTATTGATTCACATTCTAAAACACAGTAGTCAGAAGAACACCAAGTAGATATAGGACACTGGGCAAGCAGCTGAAAGTATCTAAATTCCTCCTCAAAGATGGTGTCACTCTAACAACAACAACAAGCCCTATACTGCCTATCCTACAGGATTTTGTTTTTAAAGATGTAATTAAATTTTATAAAGAACCTGAAAATATAGAACAAATTCACATGTAAGGTAATAACACTATCTTAGGACAAGACTACTAGATATCTAAAAAGTGTCTTGAATTTTTTAAAGGGAAATGAGGAATGACAAATAAATAACCACATACTACTGATCTGGTTGAGTGCTGAAATCTGAACAGAACATAAAAATAGCAGTGATGCAAACAGCTGCATTTAGGACGGGCAGGTTCAGCAGGAATAGGAATGCATAAGCTAATGCATTCAGAAATGCACCAAGTAGCCCCCCAGGGAAAACGTGGAAGATAACACAGTTCTGTTTTAAAGAGTTTTAAAGTCAGCCAGTCAATGCAAGTCTGGTCCTCCTGCCTCTCTGGCAGATACCAGGAGCTTTATCAGCTTCAGATGCCATGCAGTTTCTAGCCTCTCAACTGGATACCCAGGTGAGCACAGAGGGAAGGGCAATGGACCATGACTAACAGAGGTGCTCCATAAATGACTGCCCTAACGCACGCTGAAATCAGGAGTGCTGGGAATGGGGAATATCTGACAGTCTCTTTTCAATTCAGTCTCCCCACCCCTAGGCTAGCCTGGAGGGTTCACCCCAGCCTGTTCCCACACAAGCTGCATATGTGCTGGTTTACCAGTTTTCCCCTAAACTGAAAAGTGCTCTCTTCTACTTAGCCACGATCTGTCTCTCAGAAGACGGGACCAAAGAGTTTCTATTTTTAAAAAGCTGTTTGGGGGACTGTAATGCATGATAGCCAAGTCTATGTCACTCCTAAGTTTTTATATTATTGTGCCTTCTGCTGCAATTATTTTTAGTATTTGGGTAAATTTTTAACTTCTTCACTTAGATTGAAAACTCCTAGAAGGCAGGAGTACCCCTGCTCGTACTTAAGAAAGAGTCTAGGGACTTCCCTGGCAGTCCAGTGGTTAAGACTCCACACTCCCAATGCAGGGGGCCCGGGTTCAATCCCTGGTCGGGGAACTAAGATCCCACATGCCTCATGGCATGGCCAAAAAAAGTCTAGTACACAGTAAGCATCAGTAAAGCTGACTGACTGACTATATGCTATCAAACAGAATAAATGAATGAGTGAATGAATGAATGCCATGGTTTAAGGGACATCACAGGGCCAGTTTTTCTACTGGCCTGCCACTGTACCCTCAAATCCCCATCACTTACATTTTGGGCACTGTTTCCAGACAATGCCTATTAATGTATAAGTTTCCTGGGAGGGATAACATCAGTTGAGGAGTACAGAGACAGAGCATGAGGGGAGAGAGGGACACAGGGAAGAGATAAAAGCCTGTTCCAGGAAAGGCCCAAAGTTTTGGTACAAAGTACCAAGACTCAGGAAGGGTGGGTAGAGGATGTTGAAACAAACCCTGCTTCTTCCCAATTTGTCTAGGGCTGGCTGTAAATTGAGAGAAGAAGGGAGAGAGGAGGAATGAAAGATCTGGAGCCAACTTTCAAAAGGGAATATGCTAAAGAATTTAAAAATACAGTTCAAATTCCCATACCACCATTTCCAAGGGTCTAATTTAGCGTGTGTACCAGAATTCTGTTGTATTGCCTGAGTGACTGAATCCTTAGTTAGAGTTTGGGAATATTTGTTAATGTCGCAATTGTATTACAATATTGTATTGAAATTTTATAACACCATTACCATAACTACTTTTAAAAGAAAAGAGATGGACAAAAATTCCTATTAGGGAGAGCAAGGTACATTTTTTAGAAGAAATACACGGATGACCTTGGAGTGGAGTGAGACTCTGAGCACAGGCTCAGTAAGAAAATATGGTGGCTGGACTTCCCTGATGGCACAGTGGTTAAGAATCCGCCTGCTAATGCAGGGGACGCGGGTTCAAGCCCTGGTCTGGGAAGATCCCACATGCCGCGGAGCAACTAAGCCTGTGCGCCACAACTACTGAGCCTGCGCTCTAGAGCACGCGAGCCACAACTACTGAAGCCCATGTGCCTAGAGCCCATGCTCTGCAACAAGAGAAGCCACTGCATTGAGAAGCCTGCACACCACAATGAGGAGTAGCCCCCGCTCACCGTAACTAGAGAGAGCCCGCGTGCGGCAACGAAGACTCAACGCAGCCAAAAATAAATAAATAAATAAATTTATAAAGAAGAAAATATGGTGGCTAAATCATGAATGAGAAGAAGCGAGGGATCTGTTGTTGCTCCAGAGAGAAAGTGGGAAGAACAAAAAGGAAAGAAGGCAAAGAAAGAAGTCCAAAAGGCTGGGCCCTGCATAGCCAGTAAGAGGAAAGCCCAAGTGGCAAAAACGAATGTGGATTCAAGAGCTGGAGGCTAAGGACACAGCTGACATCTGAGAAACAGACACAGCAAATGATTTCCATGTCCAGGTGGATGGGCCAAAGAACCACTTATGTCTTGTCAATCTGGTAAGAGTTTAGTTGCTACAATGAGTAACCCATTTACAATAAATGCACTCTATCCCTCGATCTCACTATTTAGAAAAAAGTGCTTGAAAATGTTATGGAGTTAAATTGCAGGAGAGGAAGCAACTGAGCTCTTCATTCATCCACTAACTCATCTATTATTCAACAATTATGTATTTGGTGTCCACAGAGGAACTGGGAGAGACTCCGATGAGCACGGTAAAGAGGGTCCTGGCTCTCCTGACACCCCCGATCCCACTGACATTTCTTGGTTTCTGCTTGTATTGATAGTAGCTACCTTTGAGCTTTTTTCTCCACCTCTATTATTCCAACCTTCTTTGAACAAAATCACCTAACAATTTCCTAAAACAATCTCTGGAACAAAGAACAACATGCAGAGAGCCCGGGATCTGTAGGAAAGCAGCATGAAGGACAGTTTGTATCTAATAGCTCCTTTCTTATATGTTTCTAGCATAACTTGTTATTTCTTCATTATTGATCTTGTTTTACATCTACAATCATCTGAAGTCAACTGCAATATAACTGAAAAACATGACTGTCTTAGGGAGCCATCACCTACATGCTATTTAACTAGGAGCAGCATGTTATAGGAAAAAGCATCTGACTCAGCATCAAAAGGACCAGGCTCTAGTCCTGGACTGGCTACTCGTAACTTTATGACTTGAGACAGTTGTTTATCCTTTTTGTGCCTTACTTTTATCATCTGTAAAATGAGGGGCTGGATCAGATGCTCCTTGAGGTGCTTTCCTACTCTAAGAATTTTTTGCTTTAAAGTTTTATAGTAAAAAAAATTATTATAAGTTAAATATTTTCTAACTCTGACAGTTTAAAAAATGTAGCACCCATTCTGAACATTTAAAAATAGACACTTGAAAATAATTCACAGATATGAGACAAGAAGTTCTAAGAGGATCTTTAAAAAAAATTGGCACATAATGCTATTATGAAATCCCCATTTAGTGCTTTTATATTTAAATAGTTTAATTGGAATGAATCTGAAGTTTGTCAGATTTTTCTTCTACAAGTTTCTTCTGGCATGTAAATTTCACAGACCACTTTTACCTTTAACATCTTAGTTGCCACTCCCTCTATGCCCACACTTATGATGCTTCCCCTTTCCAACACCTCCAATTTCTCTTCTTTATCCAACAAATCCAGCTTTGAGTAAGTTATCATCCCAATTCCTTGGATCAATCACTAGGTCCTGAAAATTTAGACATAAATTGTGAAAGAGCTTTTTTTCCCCCCCACTGAAGATTTCCACCAGCATACTGTAGGAAAGGAAAACTGTCTAGGTCACCCTCCTGTTTAAAAACCTTCAGGAATTCACCTTTATTTACCTAAGAACGCCTAAACTCCTTGCCCTAGCATTTAAGGCCTTCCACGAGTTGATGAACTTGACAACCACATGCTTGATGATTTCCAGCCACACGTAATGCCATTACCTCATCTCCCTCTTTCTACCTAGGAACATCCTACTTATTGTTCAGAGCCCAGCAAGACCCATCTTCCTGATAAAGCCTTTCCGGACACTCTGTAGGAGCCTCCCCAGTTACTTCCCTCTACTAAGTTCTCAGCAGCAGGAGATGCATTACAAAGTTTACAATGTTAATCCATACCTGTACTGTTTCTATATCTCGTTTTCCCCACAAAACTGAGTTCTTTGAGGACAAGGGGCCATGTGTCAGGCTCCTAAGTATTCTCCCCAGGGCCTGATGCTGTCACAGGGATGCACAACTCCAGGGGGCGCCATTCCCTTCTACATGATGATACTTTCACATACCATTCATCCAATTTTTCACCCAGAAGGAATAACAGAGTGGCTCGTCAAAAAGTGATTAAATGTAAGACCATGAACTCCTCCCTCCAGCTCCCCCAACCAATAAACAAATGGCTCCTTCTACATCTATGATTTCAGTTCAAGAATGCAAAGTTGACCTTGGAAATGAAAAGAAGAAAATGTATTTGATTTTAGGATGATGGAACAAAGAAAGTTTTATTTGAAGGCAAATTCTGTGTCATTCACAAGCTTAAGAGGGAGCTGATATAAAGGTGTCCAAAACCTCTAAAGAAGGTGTGGGGGAAGGGAGAAATCACCCTTGCCAGGTCTGCCTTCCCAGATGAATGTTCCCTGTTTCCCTAATTAACATTCCATTTGCAGACAGTGATTTCTCTCAATGAGAATTACTACTGCATAAGCCAAATTCTGTCTTCTAAATTGTAAGATGGTCCAGGGTGCAATGATACTACATCAAAGGATAAGGGAAAAAGCATAATACTTGCTTCCTTTAAAAAAGGAAAGCATGTACATTGGTATATTTTAATCAAAAATTTTTTTTCACTTATAATTTTCCATTACAATTTTCTAGTTTGGGATGTAACAGAGAAAAACAGTGATTATCATATATTATAAGTAGATGAGATGATTCCAGTGAACAGCATTTTTAGAGTTTATTTCTGGATTCTTCAGGAGGAAAGATGTCCTACATAAACATACTAGAAGGATTTTCATGGCATAAGTAATAGTACCTGTTTTCTTCCCTAAGGTCATTTTCCATGGCTTGAGTCTCCCGCCCCAACTTCTGGGATCTTGTGTAGTCTCTCCAGGCCCGCAGGACCTTCAGTTGCAACTTCCAGTCAGACAGGGTCCCAGCTTTCCCCAGCTTAATCCTATGATCAAGAATCAGCTTGTGCCAGGCAGAGAAATACCGTTTTTGACACTGCAATGGAAACATTGGAAAATCAGTACTAGGGTTTCTAATATCTACTAGTGAGAACCCTGTCCTCAGATATCCCCCTCACACTTTTTCTCACAAATCTAGGAACTGTTGTCTTGATGGAAGGGGAACAGACAATTGCTTTATGCTCAAATGACAAGAAATATTCAAGCCATGCAACGAAGGCACTGTCAGCCTCATGGCAAACTAAAGCATTTAATCCTCACTGTAAGGCACCAGTCCTATGCAGAGCTGGAGTAACTGTCACAACTAAGATCTAAGTTAAGGGGCTTGTTTGAGAGACTTGAAAGGCCTGCTTCCAACAGATCTCCCCTGCCAGGCTGTCTTGGAGTTTAAAATACCATTGACCATTATCACCACTGATGTCCTACACAAATGAACATGGGAGATCCCACAGGATGGAATGGGGTCTCTGGTCCCTGGGAACAAGATGGCTAAAAACAGCTTCAGCTGGGCTACCACTGACCACGTCAGGGCTTTGGTGAACACTCCTACAGAAGCTAGATACGCGGGCTGCTTGTGTTCTTTCACTATATGTATCTGACAACAAATCAGACAAGGTCTACTGACCCTAAGCATGTCCCCAGAGAAGTACTTACGGTCCTAGGCTAAGAAAATCTCTGCGATCTAGGCCTTGCCTACATCTTCTATCTTCACAGCAAACTTTATGCTCCTACTATATCAAACTACTTTCAGCTCTTGGTCTTATACCAACCACACCGTTCCGTGCTTTTCTATCTATGGTCATAGTAATTTCTCTGTCCTTTTCTGCCCTCTCTCTGCCTATTTCAAGAGTCACCTCTCTCAGGAAGCCCTCCTAATGCCAATCACTCTCCCCACATGTAAGTGCCCTTCCACTGTGTTCCCAGAGCAACCTATGCTTTCTTTAGTCAAAATGGTCATCACACCGTGTTATAATCACCTGTTTACCAGTTTCCACAAGACTGTGAGCCTCCAGAAGGAGGGACTGGCAGATCTGAGAGTACCACGTGTGAGGAGCACTGAAACAGAAAGTAACCTCACAGGAAGTGACTCTGGGAGGTATAGGAGATGCCTGCTGACCAGCTTCGAGAACTTGGTAGCCATATCAGGGTCAGCCCTATTTATTGCTTCTTTCTCTTTAAAAATACTTGTCTTTCACTATTTCAACATTTAGTAAGCTGTGTTTGAATTTGGGAATTCTGAACAAAGTTGTTTAAGATATAATCTCTATTTTTGAAAGGTTATAGGGAGAGAGAATATATAAATTAAAAGACCAATAACATGAGAGAGCACAGACTAGACTTCTTAGAAATAGCCCATTTGGCCTGAAATATTTTCTACAAAAGAAACCAATTATATTCCCATTTAGACAGCCTACAAAATCTTCTTTATTATAATTTTCCATTAGGAGAAACCATGGCAGTCTTTAAAAAGCCCTTGTTCCCTTTCCATTATGTCAAATGAGGGCACGTTTCCTAGACCTTCGCCTTAGATTCTGTGGAAGGAAAGGAGGGAAGGAGGGAAAG